ATATATATATATATATATGCTAACTTATGAATTTTTAATACTATGTAGGTAAATAATCCAAATAATGGTGTAAATCTTTGAAAGATATATCTTGAGGACCTGGGCTTCAGGTCAAAACAATGTCTAAGTACGTAGTGAATGATTATAAGTCCCATACAGAGGATTGCTCTAAAAATAAAAATAGCAACAACAGCGGGGTGTGGGTTCAAGGTGGTGATGGCAACCAAGTTGGAGATATTGATTATTATGGTGTGGTCAAAGAAATATTACAACTACAATATACAGGTTGGCCATATAAGAAATTGATACTCTTTAGATGCAAGTGGTTTGACCCAAATCCAATAAGAGGTACAAGAGTACACCACCAATATAATATAATTGAGGTTAATCATACGAAGGAGTATGATCGCTATGATCCTTTCATAATTGCACATAACATTAGACAAGTGTATTATGCTTCTTATCCATTATGGCGGAATAAGTCCGATTGGTGGGTTGTAATAAAAACTAAGCCTATAGGTAGGTGAAACTCGAGAATGTGTTAGATGTTGCATATCAAAACGATATCTCCCATGTTCACCAAATAGTGGACGATCAGTTAGAAATGATTTGGAACATCCTGAACGCATATTGGAAGAAGTTGATATAAATGAAGTAACAATTATAGAAAATGAGGACGAAAAATCAACTGATGAAATTCAAACAAGTGAGGACGAGGAATTCTCTGACGAGGAACAATACGTCGACGAGGATTAAAAAGTTGGTTTTTTAAAAGCACTCTCATTTTATAACTAGTTTTTTATATATTTAAATCTAAATATATATTATATTATGCAGATGGAAGACAAGGGTCAAGTTAACAATGACCCTACTAGTTCTCGGGGTCGAGAAAAGGCTAGCAAGGCAAAGAGGAGGGTAGATAATAATACTTCCTCTTTTCTACCCTCTTTAGAGATGACTATGTCTTATCCTCCACCACACGGCTATACTGAGCTGCCACAACATCACAAGGCATACACCTTCATCCAGACACCAGGTCTTTTATCACAGGGCCATAGGACTATACTTCCGACATACAGTCCAGGTGCCTCACAGCCACGTGGATCGCAACCATCTACATCACAATCACATGGATCGCAGGCATCTGCATCACAGTTACGTGGATCGCATCCCTACATATCACAGCCACATGGATCGCATCCATCCATATCACAGTCACTTGGGTCGCAGCCATCAGTATCACAACCACATGGATCGCCTCTAGCTATGTCGCAGTCACAGGGATTGCAACCATCTTCATCATCGACTCCATCCATTTCAGGCCTTCGCCTGCAGAAGTAGCTTTGAGCCCCTACACCGTCTACACATGCTGAGGATGATGATTCAGAGGTAGTGCATTATGATCGCTATGGCAGGATCATCATAGTCCCTGAGGGTGACGGTAAGAGTTAGTTGTTATTTTTGCGTCTATTATTTTATAATATTTTTACTAATATATTCATGTTTTTTTTGTTAAATTGAAGGTTCAAGCCGGGTAAGCACACTACGAAGATAATCACCAATGCCATCAAAAAGCTTTATGATGGCCCTTATGCGACTAGGATTGATTTCCCATTCTCGCTAAAGGAGCAAATTTTCAATCAGTTTAACTTTTGAATTGTAGAGCAAGTGTGTATGGGAAGACCGCTATAGCGTGGAAGTGGCTGCAAATTTTTATCATAAAGCTCGCAAGAGATTGGCGGATTTTTTCTCGGATGCTAGAAAGAAGAACAAGAGGCCTGGCTAGTGTCTTGAGAATTTATGGAATAATTTGTTAAGGCAATGGCAAACCACGGATTTCTTAGAGAGGAGCGAAAAAGAAAAAAAAGCTCGCTCATCCGAGAAGGGAGGCTCCTTGCACACTGGGGGTGCTATCAGCCTGAGCAGAGACTGCATATGTAAGCTTTTAATTTTATTTAAGTGTTATAATTTACTTTAATAAGAATTTTTATATACTAATTTAATTTAAAATAATGTAGGGTAGCTAACAAAGTAACGTGGAGGAATTCATTCGTAGTCATCCATCTGGTGAATCGGGCAGCCAAGCCAACCTTCGGACGAGGATGCTGAAAGAACATGGTTGGAAGCTATTGGCGGTCCAAAATAGGGGAAGGTATACGGGCTTCCTACGAAAAAATCCCATCGCTATAGGTGTGGAATGCAAGGAATAAGGACTTCCTCGCAAGGCGAGAAACTTAATAGGGAGATCCTCTCGGCTATGCGGGAGACAGTGACAAAGCTTACATCCGAGCTAGAAGCGGCCAAGGAAAGAGAAAGGCTTAGAGATGCTCAATTCTTTGGTATGCAAGCTCAGATCAGAACTCTCCTATCTACTGGAGCTTTTTCGTTGCCCCGATCTCGTGAGTCATCGCCAGAGGCTCGACCTCCACGTGATCGTTCCTCCCGTCCTCCTCGTGATCGTTCCTCCGTCCTCCCCGTGATCGTTTTTCCCGTCCTCCACAAGACCGTTCTCTATGCCGTCTTGTAGATGAAAGTTCATCAGACGGTGATGATGATGTTGTAGAAAATACCCTTGACCAATACTTTGATATATTTTGAACTAGACTAATAGAACCAGTTTGAATTAGATTGAACAATTTTGAACTTGTTGCAATTAGTTTTTTCTTAGTTTTGGATTGTGATGTTTAATTGAACTTTAATTTGTTAGTTTTAAAGTATTAATAGGGTGTTTGGTTATTGTTGTCGTTGTTGTTGGGTTTTTGGTTGGATTTGTGGTGATTTGGTAGTTATTAGATTTGAGTTTGGGGGTATTGGTATGCTGTTTTTATTTGGCAGGTGGTGTAGCTACAAAAACAGGCATTTTCTGCCAAAATTAAACTCAAAAAACCGACCAACCTTGGTCGGTTACTAAAAAAAGTTTAATTGCACATTACCAACCAATGTTTGTTGGTTAATGTACAATGAATTTCCAGAATTCAACATTACCGACCAAGTTTGGTTGGTTTTCTGCCTGCCCAGTCCAGTTTGCCGACTAATTTTGGTCGGTATTTTTACATTTTAGTTATTTAAAATAAAATATATTTTCCAGTACAAACCAAAGTTGGTCGATTTTTTGAAATTTTAATAATTTATAAAAAATATATATTTTCCAATTCCGACCAAAGTTGGTCGGTAGGAAAAATTAATAAATTTAATACACTGACCAAGTTTGTTCGGTAAAATTAAATTAATAAAATAATATTCCGACCAATTTTTATCGGTAAGCCAATTACATTGTCAGATGGTCGTGTATTCCGACTAACTTTGGTTGGTATGCCCTTCCGACCTTACCGACCAGCTTTGATCGGTTTTTCTGGACGATTTTTTCCGGATTTCTAGTAGTGTGTCTCGCACATCAAAACAAGTAATTTGAATTAACAATAAATAAAAGTATATATGTCTTAACTTTGATTTAATAGTAAATGTGTGTTTTAAAAATATGTGTCTTGAGATTTATTGGCTTGGTATAAATGTCAAAGGCGGATAAATCTTTACCGAAAATAATATAGGTGCGTGAAAGCTTCATTAAAAGCTTCACATAATTAATGCAAATCCTTGTTGGAGGAGTACTGTATGATCGCTTCTGTTTTAACTTGCTCTGTTTTGTTTTCCCCTTCACCCTTTCTCCTTTATTGTCGTTTCATTTCCTTTACTTTCCTTTTGCAAACCTTGATTCTGCCCTAAAACAACTTCCAAATTAAAGGAGATATAAATTGTTATTTAATTAAGAAGTGTGCCTTCCATGACGTTTTTTGATTCGCTAGCTGGTCCACATACATTTATCAGAAGATAAACTAGAATATAATACTAAAAGTAGACTTTATTATTATATTATTGTAGTAAATAAATACTTTTGCAATTATTTTTTTAAAAAGAATTGTTACAACATTTCTATTTCGAGCTGCTTGATGGACATTGGAGGACCTGTTAGACACATGCATTCATACTTTATTAAGTGGCCCTCAAATTAAAGGGGTATGGACAAGATCCCACTACTATAGTGTTTGACCACTTTTTAATAGGTACTCATACAAGGACTGCTGACTGCCTGCAATTTAAGCTTTTTAATATTTTCCACTTTTCTAGATCAAATTTTCCTCACTTTTTGGGGGATGAATTTTGATAGGTAAAACTAAAAGCTCTATATTAAATCATTGAGTATTTTTTATTTTTTTTTTGGTTCCCAAATGCAAGTGTTAGAATATGGATTGTTTGGATGAAGATAAGCTTATGATTGGATGCCTTTCGAAGATGCAATATTGTAAAGCTTGATTGGTAGAAAATCTTCTGTTCTTTTGTTTGATTTTTGTAAAAATAGAGAGGAAAGGGAATAAACCAATTATTCTTGGAATCTCACAACTAGAGAGAACAAACTACCAAATTACCTTCAATGTCTCTTGCTTTCTTCAAAACCAAACTAGGGAAAAGAAAAATATCTCGTCTTGTGCTATAGTTTTTCCCTTAATTTACTAATGCTATTCCAGAAATAGCTTGCAAATCATTTACTACTTAATACTCACCTCTATATTGTCTAAATTTGTACAGTACAAATTTTGGTGGAGAAATATTAAAATGGCTACTGCTAGCTGCCTACTTTGAACCATTGTTCAAGGGCAAAAAATCCCCCCTCCAGAAAAGGTATTCAATATTGGTCATTATTCCCATTGAAATTGCTTTTTCAGTGGGCAATGAGAAGAAAAAAATTGTCAGCACACCTTCTAAAGAAATAATTAAATTAAATATTGGCGTGCTAGAGAGTACCATTTCCGTCTCAATTTATGTGACTGATCGACAAAATTTAACAAAAAAAAAAATTTTTAAAACTTGTGGCCTAAAATAAGTTATAAATATTTATGTGGTTATAAATCATCAGAAAAATTTAAGTTATATTATTTCTAAATACAAAAAATAATAATATATTTTTTTGAAAACACTAAAGAGAAAAGTATGACACCAAAATGGAAGGGAAGTGTATCCATTATGCAATTATTAAAATGATGAACATATAAAATTAAACAAAAAGATAAGGGACAGAGAGAGTCCGGAACCAAAATATGGTTCTTTTGGATTCAAAGAATCAAAATGTGTGGGGAAACAAATTGGGCACCATTTATACCTTAACGTACGTTTGTCCATTAAGGTATAGCGCCCTAATATAAGGCGCTATATATATAAAGCCCTAGGGTACCGCGCTATATATATATATATATATATATATATATATATATTATGTGGGCCCACCAATAATTTTTCGGCTTAACTGACATAACAATAATTCAACTGGGTATAACGCTCATATTTAAGGCGCTATACCTCAAATAATTGTACCCCCGGGACTGATTTTTGCCTTATATAAAGAGGTTAAGGATTTTGTAAAAATCCATTCATAAATATTTTCAAGTCTTCTAAAATATTTCTTCGTTAAATTATTTTGCATTTTGCCATAATGTCTGAAGAGCGAAGAATTAGGGTTCCATTATATTGGGAAGGGGGGAGGGGGGAGGTTGTGGTGGCGGATAACTCAGTAAGCTATAGTTTATCTTCACAATGTCATGTTAAGTTGCCACTTACAATGGAGTACGATAAATTGGCATCGTTGTTATATACAAAAATAAGTGTGAGCAAACGTTCGATGAATATTAAAGTAACAGAAAGATATCTGTATTCTGTCACTCTGCAAAGGGTTGCTTGTTCTGCTGAGTTTAACATCGAAGACGATGAAACTCTGAGAGATTTTTTGAGGACTCCGGATGAATACCGGAAATTTCTTGTGATAAAACTGTTGGAAATGTACGTCAAGGCTGAAACCGTCCGCAATAATGAGGTTGCACAAAGTAGGGATATCCCTCAAAAATCGGGTGGTTATTTTGGAGCAAATTTTAGCCGAAGAGGTTCCGGGTGAAAGAGTTTGGCATGATCTAAACTTATCTCCACGGGCGAATGAGGAGCAAGGAAATAATTTGTCTCCTAGTTCACATGATGCACAAGCCGAGTGGTAAACTTTAATTTTTCTTTGTATTACGATATTTATTTTTATGTATTGAATTTGTATTAACACTCATATATTCCACAGGGGGTACCGGCCAGATATAAATTTTACAAGTTTTGAACCAACGCCCACTTGGAATATGCCTAATTTTGGTGTTTTGGATCTTGGTGGTCCATCCGGGAGTAATCATCAATAGAATAATGTCCATCATGGGATATCAACACATTATGATTTGTAAGTGAAGTGATAAAGCTATATGTAAATTTTGGTTCAATTTGAGTAACTCATTATTTTATTGGTTGTGCAGTGAAAATGAGCAACTTGAAGGTCATGTCCTTACTCAATTGCCCGAAGATGACATACTTAATCGGAATCTGGTAGATCCACAGAGTCAGGAAGAGAATAGTGATTATGACAACAATGCCGATGAGTTTGGAGATGACACACCCTTCCCTGACGAGGGTGATGATGAGGAGGAAGAGAATGCTGAACCTCATTTGACAAGGGAGCATGCTCCACCTCCCGTTAGACCAAGAGTGTACGAGTTTCACGTGCCGTTTCATTCAAGGGAGATTCCCTACCTTGATCATTTTCTAAGTACGTCGGATATGGATGCCCTCACAAGGGATATTGACGAAATTCGGACAACAATATGGATGATCTAGAGCAACAGTGCTGTCAAAGGGCATGCTTTTTCCTGATAAAGCACGCCTAAGCAGGGCGGTGCAAATATACAGTGTAAAAGAGTGTCGTGAGAC